TGTAATTGTACCATTTGGTGTTCATTACTTATAGCAATTAGATTCTTTCTCTGTCCCCTCTAAGACAACTGCCCTCTCCAAACCAGAAATGACTTTCAGCCACCACACTCATGAATAGAAATAAAGTCAGCAGTTTTCAACTTGGAGATCTACCAATCTTCTAAGACTGAAAAGAATGCATTCTGTGAAAATAGACCACCTGAATTCATGTAGTCAGAGACTTTTGGAGGGAGGTGGGCTATAGGAAAGGAAATTATACACATGAATGTATAGATATATTAATAATGGGGAAAAAAAAGCTTTGGGGGAGTTGTATAATGATCCAGGGCCCTGAAAGGATTAATGTTAAGGAGTGCCTGAAATACTCATATTGGATTACTGGGAGCACAGCTCAGGATCTCGAGAGAGGAAGCCTACCCTCTGGGTCTCCATCTCCGTCTCTGTAACAATGGCTATCATATTAATGTAACATTTTCTGGTCTCAGATTTATCACTATGGTAACTGAAACAAGGGTGGCAACACTCAATATAAATGGTTCCGCAGCCCTGGTCTGAGTAATTGGAACTGACCGGTGATGCTGTTCAAGACTCCACAGGAAGTCAAACTCAGGCTACTTGCCTTGTTGGCAGATGTTCTGATATTTCCTGGGAGAGGAGAATGAATTAAATATAGGGTGGGGTATTGATGATTGTGCCTTCTGTGTTATTGGGTAGCACTGTTGTTGTTCTGCTCCGATGGGAAAGTGACTATTAGAAGCCAATAAAAGCATATCCATTGTTGGCAGCCACAGAGGTCACTGGAGAATTCTATCCTAACAGCTTCTCTACTTGTTAATTGCTGATTTCCAAAAGGGTTACTTTCATAGATTTAATAGACCCACAAATTTGAACTTTTTTACTGAATGGTTTAGAATTCTGTCTGATACTAGTCCATAATCTCTTCTCAGTTTTCTGCAACTATCAACATTGTAAATCACACTGTCCTTCTCTGATGCCTTCTCTCCATTTTCCACGAGGGCAACTGTTGTTCCCAATTTCCACATTTATCCATTTCCATTGAAACTGCAGCTCTCCCTGCCATAGCTGTATCCCCTTCCTCACTGACACTCAATCCTTGGTAACATCATCTGCAAGCAAAAGCCTGTATCTACTTGTAAACTGATCACAGTGAGCTGCATTGGAGATCAGCTGAGGAAGGCAGTTTACCAGAGCAACATCAGTGGAATTCCATGCTAATGACTCCTGTGTTTGCTGTGGAACATGAATACTTTGGAGGCAGTGGCCGAGATAGGAACAGATTTGGAAATCAGAGTTAGCACTGGAGTAATTCAGCACACAAAGGGGAAAATACCCTATGTGAGCAAAGACCCAGGAAAGTGGCTCGCAGACAAAATACTGAACAGAATTGTAAGTCACGTATAGAAGCATAAGAATGATCTTGTGTTCTGTCTCACAGTCAATATGTCAGTATACCTTTAAGAGACATGTTCATGATAGTATCATTGTATCATAGCATATGATTGAGTTTGTAAACTCTCTACCCTAGCCAGGGAATCATTTGAAGCTGAACATATTGCTGGAAGCATGCAGCTCAATGCCTCTCTGACATAATCTAATAACCTAAGGTTACTTATGTGCCTGAGCATGTAATGTTATACATAATTATCTGCTGTCATAAATGCCTGATGATTTCTTCAACACCATAATATTCACACCCACTTTTGTGTGTTACAGGAAATAACATAAGCATTGCTGCATGAGGAAAAATATTGTTTTGGAGGTAAAATCACATCAGATGGCGTCCAAAGTGTACTCCAGGAAGCAGATTTACAGAAGCAGTCAGATTAGTGGTCACCAGATGTAGGTGGAGGTTAGCCAGCGAGGTCAGTACAGCAGCAGAATGACTGATTTGTAAATGAAGTTACGGTGAGCTTTGCCATGTTGTAGACAGAAGACGGAGGCTAGTGCAGAGGAAATTGGGAGATGAGGTGAGGATAGGAGGACAAAGGGGTGCCGACAGACTCAGCTCCTAGTCAGTTGAGCTCAATAGGTGTGGCCTCCATGTGTTCTACAGTATGATCATTCTCATTCTGGCTGTATTGCTTCTTCTCTGGAATGTTTCTTATCACTGGAGATAAGTATGTGCTAGTTCTCAGATTTCACTGATTATAATATTTATAAAGAGAAATAAAAGCATAGAAGCTGTTTAATAACATAAGCATGAACTGAAAGATGAAAGTAAAAACACCACACCCTGAGGGATAATAGACGTCTATACAAATTTAATGCTGTTTGTAATGACATTATTTTCAGCTGCCGTGTCCTAGATTGGACTCCAAAATCCCTTGCTGCAAAAGAAAATGTAACAGATGATGTCCAAATATTATTTGTGCACATATTGATGTTCCCATTTCAAATAATTAAAAGCTGTAGTTAGTTTTTACATTTTCCTTATTTGGAGCTTGTTGCTCAAACAAGCAGCTTTTCAAATGATTTGTCTGTTGTGGTCAGCTGCAGGTGGTATATGGACTATTGCATAGAAATAGCACAGTGAAGTGAGATAAGCGAATTCAAAGTCTTATAAAACACAACAGATTTATCTGACATCAGGAGAGCTTTATCAATTACTGTCAACTGCATTAATATTTAATGCATGCAAGACACTGCTTAAAACCTGAGCCTTTTTCTAACAAGCAAGAGATGGCTGTGAATATTGAAAAGTATAGCTCTATTTAAAGCATATGGTGCATATTTTTACATAAAGAAGGACAAGTGCATTCAGAATTCAGTTCTATAATTTCCACAGCAACCTATTCAATATTACATATTCTGAAGATTTTGTTTGTGATTTGAATACAAATTGCCGGAAAATCATTTATGCTACACTACTGACAGTAAAAAGAAAAGTGGCTTCCAGTTGTTACCCTCCAGATTTCTGGAAACCATATCAAAGGGAGTTATGTCACTTCCAGTGACTATTGATGACAGAGATGAAGAGGAGTATTCTTTCAGAGTGTGATAAATCTTTGGAATTCTTTTATGTCAGAGAGATGTGGTGGCAGTGTCATTGAATACATTCAAGGCCAATATTCTTGAACAGTAAAAACATTAGGTGTTATGGAAACATGCAGGCAGGTAGAATTGAGGCAAAATCAGACCAGCCATGATCTTATTGAATGATAGACCAGGCTGAAGGGGCCAAATGGTCTGCACTTGTTCCTATATTCCTCCATCCACAAACTTGTTGTATACCTTCCACATGATTATCCTTCTCACCAATAAAGGCTTAGACAGGGCCATACAGATATACAGATCTCACACTCAAATGTAGTGAGATTAATGTTAAAATGTATGGGTCCTGGAAATTTATGGTCATCCATTGTAGAGCGCACTAATAAATGGTAGGGTCCTACCAGCGATCAGTTGCTCTACTTAATGTTTTTCCACTATATCTTGTAAAGGGAGCAGCATCTGAGCCGTGTCTTTCCTTCTTTCCTGTTCATTCAGTGTATGAGGAAGTGCATACATTCTCTGAAGTGTACCATTGGGCAGACCTGAACCACGCACTAGGGAGAACCAAAAACAAAGATTGCTCCTCTTGTGCAGAAACCCAGTGCAGGATTTTCCCTTTTTGCAATCAGGTGTCAAATACAAGTTCTAACCCCTGATCCATGTCCAAAACTGTCACCAGACTCCAGTTATTCTGAGATTGGTCAGTGCATGTGCAGTGGGTGCACAATTAAGGATGGCACCAGGAGGCTGCCTCCATTTCCACAATGCTGCAACAAGCCCTCAAGCTGATTGGAAAATTCCCGCTACCATCTGATTTGTTGTTTCAAATGGCTTGTGAATTCTGCTTACAAAAATAGACCACCCCAAAAGTTTACTCCTTCCAGTTAGGACAGCAGATGTTGAACACCTTAAATATTTCTATTTCACAATGTGTTAGAATGCCTCCTGCTCCCTACTTAATTAAGTCCAACTTGTCAAAATTGATTGCTTTCACTTTACGTCTTTGGCTTTATTGGTCTTAAATGACCTCTTAATTACCTTATTAATTTCACTTCTGCTTGGGGATAGTTAGTGGCTCCAATGCTGAGTTAGCTTCCAAGAGAATGGCATGGGCAGGATAGTGCCAGGAAACCAGCTTACTGACTAGTGGCACAAAATAAGCTGGCTGTTCACCTCAGTTCTCACCTCCCCCCCACCCCATATCAGAATCAAAATCCTGACCTAAAAGAAATGTGGCTGGGAATTGGGCACTGTGTTAGCTGTGGTGCTTGTGCCCACCAACACCGAGTGAAACTCATTTATTATTAATGTTCAAGTATATGAACAAGGCACAAGAGTAGGCCACTCAGTACTTTGAGCCTGTTCCAACATTCAATAAGATCATGAACAAAAACAAAGTTGCTGGAAAAGCTCAGCAGGTCTGGAGGCGTCTGTGAGGGAGAAAACAGAGTTAACGTTTCGGGTCTGGTGACCCTTCCTTAGAACTGAGGAACTTATCTTCAATAAGATCATGGCTGATCCGATTTTAAGCTCAACTCTACATTCCTGCATACCCCCAATAACCTTTTATCTCCTTGGTAATAATCAAAAATCTATGTACCTCTGCCTTAAAAATATTTAAAGATCCTACATCCACTGTCTGTGGAGAAAGAGAATTCCAAATACTCTGAATCCTCTGGGAGAAAACAATGCTTCCTCATCTTTATTTTATATTGGTGTGGCCTTATTTTTAAGCTAAGACCCTGGTTCTAAATTCTTCCACAAGACGAAACACTCTTTCAAAGGTCACCGATCAAGTCCCCTCAGGATCTCAAATATTTGACCATTTATCTCATTTTCTGATAATTAAGGCAGGTATTTTTTAACTAAATCTGTCTGCAGTTTGGTCAGTTCCTTGGCACTGAAGCTTTTACTCCTACAATTGTGTCTCTAGAGCCATAGAATGTGTGCTTTATGTGATGTTCTACTTTTTTTTTGCACATCTGTAGGTAGGCCAGTGATGATAGTGGTTGAATATATGGAAAATGGATCCCTGGACTCATTTCTGAGGGTGAGTCAGCTGACACACTTAAAATAAATACAATGATTATTTATGAACAATTATCAGACCTGGAATTATTTGTTGGAAATAAATTTTCAGAAGCTATTCCACATATTGACAAATACACAATTGTGTTTTCCCACCAACTTATTCAACTGCCATATTTTTCATATTGTAGGACATAACTGATGAGTTGACATTTGAATGTAATTATTAAATCTTTGAGGCTTTAAAATAATGGGCTTTAGGAAACTGGTATTCAAATGCACACATTAATTTCACAGATACACATTAAATGCCTTAAAGATGAGTGGCTGGTGTGCTGTTGGTGATGTGGGCCCCTAATGCTGGTAGGGAGCCTTGATTTATAACATTACCACCACCACCTCACAGGGCAATCTCTTCCTATTGTAAGCAGAGAGGCCCATCCCTGATCTTATCCCATGTTATAGGATTGTTTTCCTTTCAAAAAAAAATTAAGATTTTGAGCTTAAAAAATCGTATTGTACCTGTTTGCCCTGCAGCAAGTTCATTAAGAAGGTTTGCATGTCTGAACAGCTGACAGGGCACCTCAACTAACTGCTGTACAAATCAGAGATTTAGGCACACACTGGACACAACATCTGAATCATTAATTTCAGTGGACAATAACAATCATATGCACTGTGTGTCCTGATTTTACATTTCCACTGCCATTGACAAAGCCCCATGTCAGCAATGGCACATAAAAAGATCAACATGCAATCTGACGTGAAATACATTGGTTCCATCTTTGTGAGGATTTGAACATTTATGGAAATTCCGACAGCGGTAATAATGGAGGAGAAATTTATTTGTGTGTTTACTCATGCTGCATTGATTTCCTTGGGGAAGACTGTGCTCTTGGCCCCTTCTTGTGGAGGCTTCACGAGTTTCTGTAGTGATGAAAATACAAGTCAGACAAATAGCAACCCTCACTGCTGCCTGCCCTTGAGGAACTGATGTCGATATGCAGAGGAAGCAATGTTGTGAGAGTACTTTTCACCTACGTCTGAAGGCGTAGAGGAGAGCAAATGCAGTGTTGAGGATTAGAATCGTGTATGGGGTAATTGGGAAAATGGCATCAAGGCAATGCATGGGGCAACATTCTTAGCTTGGAGAGAATAGAAAACTGGAAAAAGGTTTGAGCAAAAGGTGAGAATAATGGCCTAGATCTTCTGATTACCTTTGGAACAGATCCAACTGATGGTAATCCTATTGAAGATTGCTCATTTACCTATCAGTGATTTCTTTTTAAGATCAAGCTTCCTTATCCAACCTGCCCTAATTGCCTCCATCATGGGAAAATTATTAGGAAACTACTCAATAAAGAATCAGCCTTTTCATGGCATTAGCTGTTGTCACTCAGTAAGTCGAAAGTGGTTGCAGTTCCCAAAACCAGCTTTCTTCCAAGGGAAGTAATGGCTGGTAGGTAAGTGGGGGGTGTGTTTGCCAGGTGGGCGATAGGATACTTGGATGAAGGGGTACGGTGCCAAGCACACACAAGTGTAGAATGCTAGGTGATTGTGTGAGGGGTTAGGGTGGCAGATAGTTAAGAAGGTAGGGTGCCATGTGAGCGCGTAGAGGATTTGGGATGATAGGTGGGTGAGCGGATAGGGTGCCTGAGGGCTGAGGGGCTTAAGTAGCAGGTAAGTGGATGAAAGGGTAAGGTGATCGGATGTTAGGGAGCTGCGAGGTGTTGTTGGTCGTCCAAGATGTGGGTGTCTGTGTGAGTGGCATGTAGATGAATACAGGTTGTGGAGGCAGAATGAAGTTTAGGGCCTTTCAATTACATTGTGAGCCAGCTAGTGTGTTAGAGAACAGAAATGAGCCTTCTAATTGTTCCACTTCGCAACAACACTGCTCATGCATTCTGTTGTGACATTAAAAATACATTACAAGCCCAATCCTGTATAAAATGACTAAAATCCCTCTCAGTCATTTACGGGGTGGGTGTGTATTTCTGAGCCTCACAAATGCACAGATTGATCTTCTCAGCCCAAGTAAAATGTTGGTCTCTGTGTGTAGAAATAGGACACAAAATTAAAAAGAAATACATGAAGAAAATAGGCAAAAAGAATGTAAGTATTCACATCATGAAATGCACTAAATATTAGGAGTAAATTCCAAAAAATTAATAATGGATTGGAGAACATTGGACTACAGAGAAAAATTATGTAATTATTATGGCTATATGATTATTATGGTATCATGATTTGGCCATCCCTTATGTACTGTTACTTCAAATTACATCTAATACAACAGAAGAACTAGAGTGAAATTGCATCAACCTTTAATTCAGTAAAATTTAGTACAATAAGTTGTGTGTATTTGATGAATCATTCCATTTTATATTGTACAGAAACATGATGGACATTTTACAGTCATTCAACTAGTGGGAATGCTTCGTGGGATAGCATCTGGCATGAAATACCTCTCTGACATGGGCTATGTACACCGCGACTTGGCTGCTCGTAATATCCTTGTCAATAGTAACCTTGTCTGTAAAGTATCAGACTTTGGTCTTTCTAGAGTGCTTGAAGATGACCCTGAAGCTGCATATACTACAACGGTAAGTCAGACATCTGTCAGACATTATTATGTAGGAATGTACATGCATTATCAGCCGAATAAAAATAGTCTAAATGTGTTTGTTTAAATACAGTTGAAGTAGTTAATTATTATAGTTCTGTGGGTTACTCAAAAGATCATTTTAAGTATGTTTAAACCACTGAACTAAGTACATTAGAATTCATTTGGAAGTACAAAAATATTCATCTATATATTTGCTGATAGTTTAGATTAAGTTGCTTCATTATAGATTTAAATCTCCAGAATGTGTTTCAAATAAGATGTTACACATGCAGTCATGAACAGCAAACAGCAGTGCAATCATCTTCAGCTCAATCTTCAATTGATCTTTGGAATATGTCCAGTTCAGTAGATCTGCCACTAACTCCTGGCACATATGGTTGCCTTCTTTTCTATGTGGGATAACATCTGTATATTTGTTCCATGATCTGCCATTCATAATAATTGTGATAAATTGCTCTCCTCTGAAGTTTGTCATGGACTGGAACATAAGGCAGAGGCTGATCAGCAACATCAAACGCAGAGAACAGAGGCATTTACTTGGCATCGGTATGCCAAGATCTGTTAGATCGTTGTTGTGAAGGCGTTGAAACTTTAGGGCAAAAGCTATTACTTACTAGATCCGAAGACAGAAATCAATACAATATGAAAATGGGCAGAATCTTATAGGGGCCTAAACGATATGTCATACTGACAAGATTTGTGGTGGAATCACGCAAAAGGTCCAGGAAGGACTGTATAATGATGGCAGGGTGTCGCAGCATCTTTTATGCATGGCCCATTTCTTGCTGAGTAAAAATAAATAGCCAATTAAGGGGGATATAAACTTGTTAAACAGCTAATTACTGCCTCAACTCACAGCCATTTTGAATTAATTCTCAGCTTCTGATCTTGGCAAATGGGCTGAACAAACTAGACATCAATAATTCTTGACATGGAACTCAATGCAGGTACTTGGTGACTTCAAATCACTGCTTGTTCCAATGGACAATGTTGGACACTGGTCACCACTCTCAGGACCACTCCATGGGCATCCAAGATGCGTCAGCCTCTAGGAACCCTCAAGACACATCTCTGAACCACTCACAATACATTTCTGGACCTTGGACAGTGTTATCATCTGTCTTTTTTATGTTGCTAAAAGGACACTGTGTGCTCAGGGACACACACCCAGCTCATGGACTAGACCAGGTTGCGTCTCTGGGCTTGCTGTCAGAGTACTCACAAGCTCTGAGTATACTTCAATGGTCAAAGCATCCCTGACCTGCCCAGCTCTTTAGTGTTTTTCCCACTCAACCAGAGATACCAGGCTCCTATTACTTGACATTTAGCACAAACATGAAGCCAGGAAGTTTGTCATGGTTGTCATCAGACTTCAGCCTTTGAACAGGGGTTCCAGCGTGATAAGTCAGGGGCATCCACTGGTACCAGTTCAGGAGCTTGGATGCAGTCAGACAGCAACTTTGGGTGGTCAGAGTGTCCACATTTGGGGTGAGGAGCCAAAGGTTGGGCTGGTCACCAACCGCCATGACTGTGGTGGGATGTTTCCCTCTGGAATGAAAGAGAGCCAGGTATTACAGGAGATGAAAGTGGGTGACACAGCTGTTATTGTTGATGCAGGTTGAGACATGCCCTGAGAGAGTGAGTAGGCAACACAAAGGGCACGCAGAGTTAGTGCCGTTGAGGATTGAGGTGAGTGAGAATGAGTGAGGAAAGATATTTAACCAATAGTGACAGTTGGTAGAGCATGAGCTTGGGTGAGAGGTGGGTACAGTTGCAGAGAGAGAGTGAATGTTAAGTATCAGAGAGAAGGGTGTGGCATTTATTCTGGCTCAGTGGAGAAGATGATCTGCTTATGTTGGTGTCGAGATGACTGGGAGTACACTGACCCAGGTGGCAACCTCAGAGCAGGATGGCATGGTCTTGTGGCCTGAGCTCTGGATGAATGGTGCTTCTGTGGATGTACAATGAGCTTTTAAAGATGTCGCCGGCACCAGGAACGACAGTTCATTAGCGGATATCATTGAGTGGCAAATTGCTCCAGGAACCTCCTTAGGTAAGCACCACAGAACCCACCGTAATACCCATGTCTGTGCACATTACTCTTGGTGAAAATCACCTACAGTGGGAACAGAAGGAGCGAAGGAGGTTATCAGATCTCAAAACGGTCATCAGTGGCTGAGGGCTGAGCAGTCTTCACCATAGAGTGAGACGTGCAGATGATGAGGGACATGCCTCTATCAGGCACCATGTACAGGCTCAGCACATGCAGCAGCAACTTCCAACACCCTTCCTCTCCCAGACTCACATCAACATCTCACTGCATTCAGTACAGACCAGCATTATACCTACATGACAGATGATAAAGCAATGGTATGTGACTCTCAATGGACCCTTGGAAGTTACACAAGTAATGGTTCACCTGAGGCCAGCATTGGTCTTTTGTAACATTATTGGCACTTCAGTGATGTTGAAATTAGCAGCAATGTACAACTTGAAAGCACCAATTACATGATACAAATTGCCTTTTACTGGTATCTGAGCCCTTAGGCACGTTCATTTTTGCTGCACATAAAATTCACCCATCAATCTGACTCTGTCTCTGCTCACCTTGGGCATTGTTTCAGGCATTTTCTAGTACCACTTCATATCTAGAGAAAGGAAAGTGATGGCAGGGAACACAGCTAGTAGTGGTCACCATCAGCACCGGGCTCTGCCTGATTACCAGGTATGATCCTGCCACCCCCATCCTCCCATTTACCCATTGACCTCACACAACCCTGACGGCCCATTTCCACCCAATCCTCTCTCACCACAGTGAATTTTAACTCCAGTCCTCCCGTGCCCTGAACTTCAGAACTGTACCTTAGTAATGTCCACTCTGCTGTTTTGTGCCCACGCTGTGGAGTCCACAGTGATGGCAACTGCCAATAACCTCCCCCTCCCTTAGGCTGGCATGACCTCCAATGCTGTATCGCTGACCATCCCAAATACCTTGAGTCTCACTCTGTCGCCATACGAGCCCCCTCCTCTGCAAAGGCCTCTGTTTACCTACCCCAGCCTTAACTCCAGCACCAGGTTTAGAAGTGATTCCACTACTGCCCCAACAGACTCCCCATGAACCCTCCTGAATGATCAACAGACAAGCCTTCTTGACTGTATTTGTTCCAGAGTTCTGACTGATTCCAGCAAGCATAACCTAGACATGGCTGACCAGAGCTCTGAATGCTGCCTCAGCAACTCCCTGACTGATATTATGCAGCTCCCTGGCTTCTTGTGATGGCCCCACAGGATTGACCATTGCCCACTCCCCAGACTGTAGTCGGGTATATCCCCTGACCGTGTCAAGCCTGAGTGGACAACTGATTGTGGTTAAGCCCTTGGCCTACATGCAGATTATGCCCGTGACTATCAGTACTGGGAGCCCCTGAATGATAATGGCCTCCTCCTCGACTGGATCGTGGACCAGGCTGCACCCAGTTTCTGATGTGGCCATTTTGGTTGCATAAACATGCAGTGAGTTTGCCACTATCAGTTGAGATTGATGGCCTTGGGTATTGTGTCGCAAGGTGTCAACCCCTATGGGACAGATCCCTACTGACAAGCAGCCTGTCCGTATGTCTGCACAAAAGAGCATGTCAGTTCTGTGTACTGATGGCACTTCAGCCAGCATCAAGGCTAACAGGCACAGCATGAAAGGCAAATCATGGGTGCTGTGACCAGGCAGATACGCACTAAATAAGCAAGTGCTATGCCAATAAGTGAGCAACCATGAGATGCAGCCTTATTCATTCTTGAGCTGGTGTCTGTCTGTGCTGCCAAGTGTCTTCGCTGCAGTCTTTCAATGCTAGTTGCTGTTGCATCCTGCATCCAAGCCTGCGCTTCCTAAGAAGCCTGTCATTGTGTCAAAGCAGTTTCATTATGGTGGTGAGGAGTTATAAAATGCTGGATATCAATGTCCATGGACGAGGGGAGCATGTGAATCAGGCTCTGAGAAGTGATTTGGTCACATTAATCTGGAAGTCACTCGGAGCAGTGAGCTGGACCCACCAGGTACTTGCTCTCATTTCCATGACATGTTTGGTAAGATAGAAAATATTAATGAGGCAAGTTTAACTGTTAATAAGATGTTTAACAACCAATCAACCCCTTAATTGGTAAGTCACTGCTACCTGGTGAGGAACTTGTCATGCCATTCGTCAAAAGCATAAAAAATGGAGCAAGATACTCCCAACGTTGAGGTGAATCTTGCCAGACTTCTCGTCCAATTCTGCCATAAATCTCACACAAATGTCACTCAGACCCTAGGTGCTCCAGCCTGGCGTCTCAGCCTCTACAGTAACTCAGTTTCACTCTTAGGTCCTTTCATTCCTCCAGTGTGAACTATCAGCAGTAACAAATTGTGATTTAAAACAATCATTTGAAGCTCGATGTAAAGCTGGTAAGTGGATACAGTGCAAACTAGCATCAGATACATAAAATAAATATACATACCTTCTTTTAAGCATTCATAAAAACAGATCATACATTCTTTGCTTTCATTTAAAAATTTTCAGCATGCTCAATTTTATTCTGTATCTTCAGGTTTTCTAGAAAACAGGCTTAATTTCCTTATAATAAGCCAATTATATGTGAAAGGTGTTTATAAGTTACGCTCTATCAATGTTCCTTAGTCTGTATCCATCTTCTGTTGTGGAATTTTCAACATGATACTATGCATTGCAATACACAGAGGAAACTGCATAATTACAGTTCACCCTAAAGGATGTAAGAAGATAAAAGTTCACAAGCTTGACAGGTAATGGTGACAGATTGTCTACTGTTTAGAAAATGAAATAAAGATACAGGCCTCATATTTGTCTGTTACAGGACAAGCTTTCCTGCCAGTAGTGCATTGAGATTATAGATCCATTACTCAAGTGTCTCACTGTGTTAACCGAACACATTCATATTTTCATTGATTTAGTTCAAGGTTCTGTA